CCTTTGTAAAGTCAAATGCTATTACACTTGCTCGACATAACGTGGATACAATATAATTTGGAGTTAATGCTTGGACATCTTTTGGTGTTTCACATTTTTCAAATTTTCTAGACTGCATTAGAATTGTTAATATATTGTTTACTGCATCTCTTATTAAACTGTGTATAACATACACTGATTTGGGTTCAGAATCAGTATCACTGAGTTCAACATCTTCAGAAAATTCAACTATATTTGATACTCTATTTTGACTATGACAAAAGATCTTAAGGTTACAGTTTATCTAATGAACTTGACAACATATCAGGGCAAACAGTACTAGAGATATATTTATTATTACATCTAATATACGTGATAATAGGTATATCTCCAGTACTGGAGATATATCTATTATCACATATATTATGTGATAATAAATATATCTCTAGTATATGTTGGTATATGTAACAATACTTTAGCAGAACAATAAATATTGTTCGGCTAAAGGATTATCACGTATATCAACATATCTATACTTACAGTTTCCATTGATATTTTTATATACGTAATAATGCTATAGCCGAATAACATTTTTTTTATGTCTTGCATGGTAGTCAAAAAGTTTTTTTCATTAAGTGTAGTTTTGAAGAGAGCGCTAATAATAAAAAGTTTAAAAACTTGAAAAACTTTTTTTTTTTCCTTAAATAATAAACTTCATGTCCTAGTAAACCCTAAGTCGATGTAGCAGCACTCCTTTGCTGGATTTAATTTTCAATTTTTGAAATGCATTTTATATTTCAAATTTAAATTACCTATATTAAATTATCAATATTTTTCATAAATTTTTATCAAATTCAAATAATTTTTGTTTATTGATAACGTTTTATACAAAAGTTTTCAAAAATTTTATTTTTGAAAATGAACCCCAATAAATATCAAAAAACCAATTTATTAATTTTTATCATTTATCTGTAAAAAATAAGTTTTTAAAAATAACTATTTCGACGCAGTCAGATATGTCTGCAACCATAAAAGTTAGTCTTTTATTTACAAGACTACCTACTTAAACCGTCAATCGAATAATGTACACTTAATCACCTAGAGGAGTATAAGTGCATTGAGTGTACATATTTGAATAAATTGATGTTTGCAAACGACGTTACTTTTCCTTTATATCACAGTTAGTCTAACCCCTACAAATTAAAGATAGCAAACGTAAAGGACGCTTAAAATTAGAAAACAGGTTTAAGAGAGTCTACAGAGGTTTGAGAGAGTATCTAACACTGACAGTAAAAAATTACGAAAACAAAATTACGAAATTATTTCTTTAATAATTATTTTCACAGCTTTATCTTACTATTTGTAAATTTATTTTAAAAAAACTTTACACTCTAACTCTAAAACATTTCATAAAAATAAATTCAAAAAAAAGTTAATTATTTAGGCAATATATAATCTTAAATACTTTAGTTAACCCAAAAGATAATTACAAACATCCTTATGTTGAAGTATTTTCCAGTCATCAATTTGACATTGTTTGCTGCAGTATTTTGCCGTTTTACACTTAGTGCAAGTATAAGTAGACTGTTCTTTTCCACAGTAAAAACACATATTGACTTTTCTTTTTGATGACATGATTATTGAATTTGGATCATCAACTCTTATCATTGGTTTCCCATCAGCAGCCAATCTAATGTAAGGATCAATAATCGAAAAAATGCAACCAACTGAAAACTTCTTTTTAATTGATGGATAATCTTCACCAAGGTTATAAATGCATAAACTTACAACAAATTGGTTCTCATCTTCGACTACAAAATGAACTGATGTTAGTATGCCCACTACTGGAACATCAATACTTGTAACAGTCAACGCATGGCCAGTAATGATGTAATCTTTAGTAAAGTCAATATCTTTCAAATATACTGCTTTAAGACCAATGATTGAGGCTAGAGTTTTTTGGCTTTTGATTGGTTTGTAAGATAAATTTAAACAATTGTTTGACAGCCCTTTTGTTTGGTTAGTATCTTTTTTAAACATTTTAAAAGCTTTGCGATGGTTTAAAACTACATCTCTTTTTTTGTAATCAACAAAATTAAGATTTTCTTTATTTTCTTTAACTTTTTCTTTTAACTCTTCATTTTTTTGTTCAAGTATTTTTGGTATTTCATTTCTATTCTGTACACTTTCATTTAAATTTGCTTTTGCCAATGATATATAATTTTCCAGAGATTTTTTTGAATTGCTTTTATAAGGGAGAAAACAAGAAAGTTGAAGTTTCTCACTCTCCAAACCTTTATTGTAATAAAAAAACAGAACTTCAAGTTGATTAGAATCCATAATATTTTCTTGACAATTAACTGAACATAACCCAAGAGCATAATATGATTCTGGAACTTTACGATGATCAAAAGGTGCTGTGGAAATGAATTTTTCATAAAAAACTGTTGCATCAGAACTTTTTAGCAATCGTAATATAACAGCTTTGCTGTAAATGTACTTGTAGTTAGAAAGATCCAATGAACAAACGTTCTCAAATACTTCTAAAGCATTTTCATACTCTTTCAAAAATTTATACATAGAACCAAGTATATAAAGCATTTGTATGTCATTAGAATATATTTTGAGAGACGATTTAAGGAAATTAATATTCAAATTATAATCTTCGTAGTTGAGATAAACAAAACAAATACGAGCATTATACTCTATCTCCGTTTTCTGATTCATTTTGTCCTCAATAACTGAGTTGGCTATTTTAAACATTTCCTCAAGTCGGTTTGCAGGTATTTTACAAACTATCTGACAAGTTAAAAAAGCTTTTGAAAGCTTTATTAAAAAATCCATTTTATTAAAGTTTGATTCATTTAGCATTGATAGTGCAGTGCAAAACAAATGAATGGCATTTAGCATTTCACTAGCTGTTTCAGAGCCATTTTCAGAATAGGTAACGAGTTCTTTTATATTAAATTGATGAGTAATTTCAGAAGGAACTCTTAATGAATCAGCAATCATTTGAAAATTCTTGACAAATAAATTTGCCTCTTGATTATTATTTGTGTATTTGTTGAAATCTTTAATATCTTTTATTTTTTTTCTTATCTCTTTGTCGTTTAATTTAGATAAGAAATAAGATGATTGCAAAGATTTTTCATGCCACACCAATGCTCTGTCTGGATCTAATTTATGAATATAAAGGTCAACAAGGTTTGCAGATGCGTTGACATCACCTCTTTCATGGGAAAGAATAAAAAGTGCCTCAGCTTGTTTTATATTTCTGTCAACGCCATCACCATTAAAGTACATTAAACCAAGGTTATTAGCAGATTGTGGACTACCATGCTCAACAGCTAACTGGTACCACTTGCATGCAATTGATAAGTTTTTAGGTACATAAGTACCTTCTTGGTAGGCTAAACCTAAACTATGTTCAGCTTCTCTTACGCCAACATTTATAATTTCTGTCTCCATAAATTTACGAGTAGGCTTTTGCTTAGCAGCCACATTTAGCAGGCTTAATGCAGCCTCAAAGTCTTTTCTAACTCCCAATCCGTTCATTGTTAAGCAAGCTAAATTATAAATACCTTCAGCATTGTTACTTTGTGCTGCTTTACTATAGTACTTTGCAGCTGTTTCATAATTTTGTTTTACATTTTTTGAGCCATCACGATACTCATGTCCAGCCCAAACATCTTTTAAAATAGGGTCTGCTTCAATATAAACTTTTTTTATATCAGAAGTATTTAAATTTGAAATTTTAGAACTGGAAAAAACATTCTGCAGCTGCTTTAACAATTGTTCCTCATGCTCTTCATTTGAAAATGGTAACTTTTTAAGTTGTTCACATCTATACTGTTCTCCAAGTTTAACTTTTAAAGACGCTAAACTATTTTTAACTTCTTCATTATTTATGCTAAATGCAAGAGCTTTTTCATAGTTTTTAACTGCTTTTTCTAGCTCATTCGTTTTGAGGTATGTTTCGCCAAGTTGTGCATACCCTTTAAACCACACTGGATGATAAAAACATGTTTTCTTGGCATCTGCAATTGCACGATCTAAATTGATTGTATCATTTGTTTTTTCAAAAAGTTTTAAATGAGATACTGATCGATAGAAATATAATATACCAAGTTCTTGATTAGTTAAATTTGGCAGAACAATTGCTGAAGTGTAGATTTTGATTGCATGTTCATAGTTTTTATTCTTAAATTCCTCATTTGCAGATTCCTTAAGAAGTTGAACATTTTTATCTGGTTCTACTTTACTAGTTTGAAACCCTTCGTTATTTCTCAATTCTAAAACATACTCTTTAGATGCTCCTAACTCTAACATTAATTGAGTCAGCTCATTTGAAAGCTCATTAAAAGATGTATCTGATATTTCTAATGTCGGTGAATGACATATTTGATTACGCACTAATGATATTTTTTTAATCAATTGAAGAGAGTATATTTTTTTTTTCAAAAATAGCTTTGATGATAATATAGAGCATAATAGGGTTATATCCCATTCATTTGAATTTCCAGAGTCTAAACAAATTTTTTGTATTTTTTTGCAACTGTTTCGAATTTCTTTGCCAGCTCCATTTTTAAAAAAATCGCTTTCGTTTTTATCGGTCCATTCTATATTATATATTTCTTTATATAAATATAAAAATTTCAGACGAAGTAATTTTGTGGTTCCTATTAACATATTATAAAGTGATAAAAAATTGGAATGCGATTCACTCATCTTTAACTTGGGCTTCTGTCGCAATTTGAATTAAAAAGATATTCAGTTCATATTGCATACAATGATTACTTAGGTTCACATAATTCGTATTGAAATAGCCCTTAGCCAAAAGAATTTTTTTTTAACGACAATCAACTTAGAATTATCTTCTATTTTCTTCAATGTCAACAATTTATTTACTCCGCATAAATTCCGGTTGATCCAAAAGTAGGTTTGCGATTTCGAAGAAAACACAGACCTTGAACATCTTCGCTGACTATTGCGCATGCGAAGTTTTTATTAAAACGCAAAACCTACTTTTGAATCGTTCAAAAAAAAAGTAACTTCGTTCTTGAGGTCGACTGATTTACGAATTCAATTTTCACAAATTCTAGAACTATTTTTGATTATAAAATGAATGAAGAGTTATTCCTTCGATTTTGGATATGTATTAAGTAAGATTTATTCTTATATATTTTTTTGTGCAAAAAATTGCAATCAGTGACAAAAAATTACTGTAAATCAGTGACTAAAGCCACTGGCAGAAAATCACTAACAGAAAGTCACACTACAGATATTTGATACACCGCTTTTAATGATATCTTTTTAATTTAAGTTGAATTATATATTTATATTAAAACATAAGTCGCATTATTTGTATACTTTTGAATTATTGTATATTTCTATTTTCCTTGTTTTGAACTTTTTAACATTTTTTTATGTGTCTAGTAGTTATAAATTTAAATCAAAAAGTACTTTTATGTAGATTCAATAATAAAAGTCTGAAAGACTGCTTTTGAGAATTAAAACCTTCATTGCAAAAAGAGACCCATTTATTTGTTCTATTTGTAGTACTCTTCAACAAATAAAATATAATAGATTGAGAATACAAACTGGCAATTAAATATAAAAATAAATTAAAACATAAAATGGGATTGCAGAGAGTAGCACAAAAGTTTGTATTTAAACACAAACTTAATAAAATGTCTTTTAAAAAAGTTATTTAACTATATATGTATGTATGTATGTATGTATATATATTTATATCGTTTTTATTACTTGAATGATAGCTATCCACAGCTGTTTCAAAGTAAGCTTTATGGTTTCTTGTTTGTTTTTTTAATAGTCACTTGATAGGTGTTACTAAAACTTGATATATTTACAAAATGTTATAAATAATTTTGTTCTGTAAAAAGAATATAAACACCTATAAAATGTTTTACAATATGACATTAAATGAATGATTATAAAAAATTTTCAGTTTTAGATAAAACCCGCCAAATAATAAACTTGGCTAAATTTTAGTGATTTAATAAATTTGGCTAAATTTTAGTGACTTCAAGACCACTACAAGATCACTTTAACTCAAAAAGCAATTTATTTAAACCTAATTTTAAACTAAAACAAGCAATATTTAAGTCAGTAAAGCAAATCGCTATTTTATTACTTGTAAAATATTAAAGGTCAAGTGATTATTTTAAAATGTAAACAAAAATTTATGCTTAAAACTAGAAAAGTTATTGTAAACCAGCTAAGTTTAAATACATATTGCAAAACATAGCTAAAGATTTTCATAGTTATAAAATATTGTAGTTTCATTAATTTGGTGCTCTTTCCAAAAAAAATTACGATTTGGATTTCATAGTGATGTAATTGAAAATAGAAATGCATTAAAAACTAACTTTTTCTTAAAAAAATATGCTAAGGACATCAAAAATCAGGTAGAACAGACATTCATTGATAAGTGTTCCATATTTCAACCAGCAAGCATGTAGCTATGATATGACATCTTAGTTGTTCCAATACAATTCCAAGGTATTCACTAGTGATCACAAATCATTTGCAATGTTTTAATATTATTTGTTTTTATTATGTTTAATGTAAATATTTCTTTAACAATGAAAGATAGAACTTTTATATTTTTGTTTTTTAAAGATAAAAGCGTTTATAGAAAAAAGTATTATTAATTTAAAGTTAGTGAATTTTTATACTTTTATTCAAAAAGGCTTTTTTTTTTTGATAAACTTGTGACAAGTTTTTAGTAAACTTGTTACTAAAATAATCCTATAATCCAAGAATGCCTTAATTGAGTGCCATATTCTACTTTTGACATTTTTATTGCCATTTAAGGAATGTATTTTTAAAAGCACCCAATAATCATCAAATACCATCGAGACTGATCCATAGAAACTATTAAAGCAAATTGTCTAGACAATATACCTAAATTACAAGTTTATTTATTGCATATGAACTCTTTATTCAAAATTTGGTTTAGATTTTTTTTATAGAGAGTTTATATATATTGCTTAAATATTTTTATGCTGATAAGTATTTTATATAAATCAGCATCTTATAATAAATAGGTGCATATATCATAAGGTTTTAAGCTCCCTTATATATTTATTAATGTTAGTTTTTTTAAATAAAAATGACAATAAACATCAACAACAGTAATAAAAATAACACATGTATATATGTATTTATAACACCTGTAATATTAGATATAAGAAATAAATGTCACACCAGGTTCTTCACACCTGGTTCAAGTGGATATAGGTTATCATTATTTATCTGCCATTTTAATTTTACTTGTATGACTTAGATGCTTTATAAATTTACTTTTATTTTTTTATTCTAAAGTTGTCACTGGATATTACTTTAAGCTACTTTAAACGGAACCAATAAGTTTCTAAAGTAGACTAAACTAAACTTTTTTTTTTTTTCAACTCTTATTCACTCCTAACAACGTTGCAAACAACCACTATTAAGTTAAGAAAAATATTAAAAAAAAACAAAAACAATAGAGTTAAAGAGTAAGGAAATGGTTGATAGAAAGCTTGAGAAGTTAAGGTTGTATGAGTCAGTTTTTAGAGCATGCAGGGTCAGATGCAGTAAAGGAATGAGATTTTGCTGAATAGCAAGTCAATCAAGAATGAGTTTTAGGCAATGCAACTAAATATGATAGCAAGATATGATATTCAAACAGCAAGCATGATAGTATTTGTATATATTAAAAGAGAAATAGATGCAACTTTATGATGATGCGCAAGAGGCTTGAGTTAGGCAGAGTGGATCCAGCTATGTTTACAATGCATTTTTAAACTTTTTCAAGTAATGGCAAGTAGAATAAAGAAAGGTAACCTTAACAAATGTTAATATAGCAATCAATTTTATATATGGTTTTCATGATAAAGTTTAAATCATAATTTCTAATAATAATAAAAATAATAGTAATGATATAGTTTTTTAAAATAAAATTTCAAATTATAATTCAAGATCAATACAAACCTTTGTATTAATTTCAGCATTCGGCACTGCCGACCTAACTGCTGACCTGAAAGTGGTTTAGGTTGTCAAAAAAATTGCCAACCTCTTTTCTATGTTTTACAGTCAGACCTTTGTATCAAATAATTTTTTCCGACTTGATGCCAAACTTTAAAACATTAAGTTTGGCAAATTTCTGCCAACCTCATTTTTCCTAATTTTGAGGGTTGTCAGTATAAATATTTGTTATTGAATAACATCTATTAAGTTTATAGTTTTAAAAAGTTGAAAGTTGAAAGACCAGAGAAATTTCTAGATATTGCAATTCCTGATAACTTAATTCAAGCCCTGCACTTAGGAACAACATCAGTAAAAAGATGAGACTTGATGATGAGATGAGACAGGATTGAATGACAAGTAACACAAGAAAGGATTTTAGTAGGTGATATAAGAGATCCTAGCTCTTGCAGTGCCCATTATAGTATTTATAGAAAGACCTAACAGTGCCCATTATAGTATTTATAGAAAAGAGAAGCAACATTATGATTATAGTTAGAGGTTAGCTGCAAGGGCAGTCCAATGGATTTTTGCACCTTAATTATAGTTTAAATATTATATACACAATAACTAATCAAATACAAAACATAAGCATTTAATAAATGCCATTCAGTGTGATGAGCATTAAGGTATGATGTGTAAGTAGGCTTAGGCCAAGCATTTGATAATTAAAATCTTTGCGAATTAAAGGACAGTACTCATCAACACTGAGATTTGAAGAAGGAAGATCTGAATTTAATATAGTCTCACAAAGAGCAAGCAAGTCTAGTGAATTTTTAAACAGGTAAGATTCAACTAATAAAAGGTTACTTGACAGACTACAAAAACTTGTTAATTAATCAAATACAAATATTAATTACAATACCCACAAATTAATACAAATATTTGTTACAATACCCTCAAAACTAACATAATGCATCAAGTTATTGTGAAAATATTTAGTTAAAGTTTAATAATTCTTTGTAATAAGAGTAATATATTAAAGTGCTGCTAACATCGAGCAAGTGTAAATATAGCTAAAAATAACAAGCAATTGCATGTCATTATTGATAAGAACCCTCATGCAATTAGTAAACAACCATTGTTGATATTTGACCGGGGCCAGGGCTGGGTCAAATATCAACCCCGGACTGTGACTGGGGTTGATATTTGATGTAGTTATGCAGCCCCAGTCACAACCCTGGTTTGTGACTGGGGCATCAACATTTATACACCTTAAAGTATATATTTTTTTACAAAAGTATAATTATCGTTGAAATTAAAATAAAATACACAATGTCATTTAAAAAAAAATTAATTGCATAATATATTGCAATACTTTTTAAAAAGCACGGTTGTTGCAAAAAAAAAGTTAAAAGTTAAAAAAAAGCGCCGATTTAAATAAGGAGCAGCTTGCACGGCTCCCCAACCTCATTTCAGGAGAGCTCTTTTCTGCTCTCGTGTTCATTTATTCCCGTCGAGGCCTGTGTATGCATATATAAGCATCATTATGATCAACATTATGATCATAATCATCATCTTCTCTTTTGGCAATTACTGCACCATATAAGTACTAAAGTTTTTATAAATATGAAAAGATATTGTATGCAAGCATCTAAATAAATAGCAAACATATATGTTTATATCCATAATATGTATGCTTAAAGTGCATCTCAGAAACTTTTATTCCTTCTGGGCTAAAAATTTGGAGGTATTTCTACTCTTCAATTTTAAATTAAACCACTCCACATTTTTCACCATCTTGAGCAGTTGCTTTATTTACAATTTATTTTATCTTTTTTACAAGAACATCTCTTTTAAGAACAAATGTCCTTTTATTATTCCAAGAAGCAAATGTAAAAAATTCCTGTTTGATGTTAAGCTCAGACTTGCCTCAGAAACGTAAGAAGGTTCAAACCCCACCTCTGGGCAAGTTTTGTGACATCGGTTGGGAAGGAGGCGTGAACTTCCTATTAAATGCTCTTTCGCGGTGCTCTGTAATAAGACCGTAAGGACTTCTTGGGGCACCTTAATCAACTTAAAAATAAATAAAAAAAAGCTCTGTTATTCTCAGTTTATTAAATCTTGTATCTTATATCAGATGTTAATTTTCAAGAGGTTTAAAGTTAATCTTCAACAACGCCATTAACTAAAGTAAGTAACATTTAATCGTATTAGTTAACATTTAATCTTATTAGTTAACATTTAATCTTATTATGTAGCATTTAATCTTATTAGTTATATAATATTTAATAATAAATAAAAAATAATAAGTAAGTAACATTTAATCTTATTAGTTATATAATATTTAATTTTTAATTTTTAAAAAGTGCTAAATTAGTGGTTCTAATTTTTCAAAACTCTAGAGAACACTTTGACTTCTACAACTATCCTATGATTCATCTTCACTCTGTTAATAGTTTCTTCATATTAGAGTTTTGAGACTATTAAATGATTTCTTTTTAACTGCAGTAAAAAGTTATTCTTGAAGGCCTACACTCTTCTTTATTTCAAGTAACTTTTAGAGTACCACAAGGTATCTTGTGGTACCTTTAAATTTTTGCTCCTGTATTGTTTTTTATCTTCAATATCAATTTTTATAAAAATTTAACATTTAAAGTGGCCCTATTTGTTGACAACTCAACTTTATACTCTTTGTCTTGGTAACATTTTTTGATTGCTTAGAAAAAGCAGCTGATTTTTAATCTGATCTCTCTTCTGTAACAGCCTAAGGCTTACTGTGGGTTATGTAACAGCCTAAGGCTTACTGTGGGTTATGTAACAGCCTAAGGCTTACTGTGGGTTATGTAACAGCCTAAGGCTTACTGTGGGTTATGGATTTAAATTCTGGACTTAAAATCTGCAATTTTTGTTAGACAACAAAACTCATTTATTTACTGGAAAAAAATATTGCAATAACGTTGCTATTTCTATATCAATGAATAACAACTCTCTTACTCTCAGATAAAGTCTAAAAGCACATTCTAAATGTAATGCGATTGTGGTGTAGTAGTAGAGTCCTCGCGTCATAAGCGAGCATTACCAAGTTCAATCCCCTCCACATCCCTGGAAGTACCACGCTCAACTTATTTCTCTGCGTATCGCCCTTGATTGTCAAGGTTCATGTTTTAGAGTTGTATAGTTGAGAGAAGGTTATAACCACAATTAATTAGCCTCCTTGTCTGTAGTGGCGTTTTTTAGCCTTGGGGAGGTAAATTAACATAAAATAATAATAATAATAAATTAGACCTGCTTTATCTGCCAAGATTGAGCCACTCTCCCATTGTTATAAGTTTGCATTTCTTTTCTTTTTTCTACGAATACAATCATAGTCAATGCTCAAACAACCTATTATCTCTAATATAATAAACCAAAACTCATTTTTGCTTGTTTCTTATTCAACAAGTTGCATCCTTTTACTGTATCTGTCCCTTCATGCTATAAAAATCTTATAACTATTAGCCATCTTCATGTTTTTCTTTTATATACAACATACTACTTTTTAAGTCTTCAGTTAACCATTTCCTAATATTTTTACTATTTTTATTCTCAATTTTAAAGTAACTCATAACTTAATAGTGGTTGCTTTCAATCTTGTTGGAAGTAAATTAGAATTTAAAAATATATAAATACATGCCAGTATTTAACAAATAGAAAAATGTAAGCATTAAATTATAATATGTAAAGTTATATTTATTATTAACTTTTTTTTAGCTCTGGTTATCATCCCCTGCTAAATCTATAGTTTTTCCAGGGTCGCGGCCCCAGCCCCTTTACTTACTACATGCAATACATGATACAGTCAAAGCCATGACATCAATTAATCATTTTACAATTAATTGTATTTTTTACAACACTGTTAAAAAAAAGAAAATAATCATTACATCAAATACAATAAAATTTAAGTAAATTATAGAGTTGTGGCATGAATGAACATATATCCCAGGAGATTAATTGTGGTTTTATTAGTGACAAGTCAGACATTTATCAGCTATTGTTAATTGAGTTAATGAATGTGAATATACTGAAACAGTAGTAAGACATGCCAGTTTTGTAAGAAAAATGTGTTCTTCGACTTTAAAACAGTAGGTGTCATTCATTTAGATTCAATATAGCCCTATTATGTTGAATAGGGAGATATCATTTTTGTTTAACATTTTTTCAATTGTATAAACTTGTTAAACTCAAAATAAATTCAGAATAAACTCAAAACGCAAAAAAAGGAATCAAAACAAGAGAAACATACAATCAAACAAGAAAATCCAAACAAACAAGAAAAACAAAATCTAAAATTTATTAGCTCTCAATTTGAAAATATCTAAGCTGATAATATGAAAATACTTAAAGTTTCGAATTTAAAAAGTAAAGCAACTGGTTAACACAAAAAGATGTTTTGCCATGACTAAGGAAGATAGTACTAAAGTAAGATACACATTGCTTATTTTTAAATTAAATTTTAGTTAAATATAGCTTCTTTTGAAGAAATAAAAACAAACAAAAAAAAAATTTTTAAACATTTTTATCAACTCTGAATTCAGTACAACCTGCCCCAGTACCTCCACTAACAAGGAGGTACAACCTTGTACCTCCTTGTAAGTGGCTATCCAACTCTTTTTGTTATCTCCTTATTAGTTATAGCTCCAAATCTCAGTTTAATGTGTTTGAGGCAGACTGGTAGTAAGATTTTCTGAAACTGTGGTAGCTTCTAACTATGCGGTAGCTCTCAGATTTTTATGTGCTTTGTTTAGCGCCTCTTCACTCGATAACCTTCCTCTTTGTTCTTTATCATTCTCCTCTCAAGACTTCACTCTTTTCAATTATATTTCTGATCAAATTGACTGTGTCCTTTCTCTTTATCCATTATTAGGCTATTGTTGTTATTGGTGACTTAAATGCTAATCACAATTATTTCTTGTTACCACTGATCCAGCTTAAAACTTTTCCTCTGAAAGCTGAACTTGTGGATTTCATGTCGTTATAGGTGTAATTTCAAATGCTTTTGTATCTTTTCAGCCCTATGCATGGTTCATCAACTGCATTAATCATGTGATTTCAGGTGGAAAGACTATAAGTGAATCTAGATATTTATTATAAACTAATAAACTGTTTTGTTTTATTTTAATTACTTGTTTATATAATACTTTTTTCTCACCGAATGTAGAGCAAAATTATTTTTTTATATATTTAAATGAGATTCTAATTCCCTGCTAGAAAACAAAAATCAAGGTTTTTTTTTGATTGTAAAAATATTTAAATATATTTTTTTGATTGTAAAAAAATTTAATTATTTTTTTAATCCCATTTTTCTCTATTAATTTTATAATGGTTTTTATTACTTTTTTACTTACAAATGTTATTTATTTTTCTTATAGTTTTACCTTTTTTATTAATTAGCTTTATCTTTGTCATTGCCTCTTGGTAAAGTTATCTTTTTTTAATTATAATTTTTTAATTGAAAAGATAGTAGTAATTTAGTTTTTTTCATTTCTAATTTTTCTTTTTTTTTCTTTTAGTTTGTCCACTGTTGAAATATGGTTTTGATTTAGTAAATCTTCATGGTTTGAATTTTACTATATTAATCATTAGCCAACAGTAATTGCAAAAAGTAATTGAATTCAATACAGTTAAGGTAAGAATAATTATTTATCCAAATAATATAAGGTATAAACCATTTATTTTATAACCTTCACTCCATATTTTTATGCATATTTGATTGATTTTTTTTTATTTGAAACTGAAAAGTGTTTTTTAAGAGGGTTGAAATCATTTTTTTTTTCAAGTTAATTTTTCCTAACTATATTCAGAGAAAACAACTCAATGCATATGAAAATTAAACTTAAAGTTTAAATAGGTGTGAAGCAGATCAGCTTTAATTCATGGTGTTTTAGGTATCTAGATAGCTAATATTATATCTAGTTAAAATATTATAAAATATTAAAATATTGTACTTAAATTATAATTAATAATTTATTTACTAATAATCTGTTTTGAGGGTTACTAACTGCTATTAGAATATAGTATTTTAGCTCGCCAATATTTTTAAATTACTCAATTGTTAATACTTGGTTGTTTTTTTCTTGCGATATGCATTTTTCAGTACTTGTTATACAAAAGAAATGCTGAATTAAAGCTTTGTAAATAGATTATTAATGATTTCATCTATAAATCAGAATTTTCCATCACTTTTCAGCCAGTTTTCTGTCTAGTTTTTATCCTAACAATGCTGACAGGTTTAGTAGTTGATTTGACAGAGGAACTTCACATAATTTTTGAAATTATTAAATATGGGCATTTTCAATTTTCAATATTAGAATTGCTAAAGCTAATCAGATGTAAACCATTTTATGCTTGCAAACAAAAAACTAGTTATAGCATTATATTATTAGCTTATGAGATTTAATTTCAAATTTGCAACTATATTATTTTAGCTAAAATAGAAAATATAGGTATTATATAACATACTAACAAAATATTCAGTAAACAATTAGTTTAAACGTTCAGCGATAAGCTTTTAACTGTACTTTCTATAAAGGTTGTAAAGTATTTAATATAAGGAACTACTTACTCACTTAAAATAAATACAAAATAAAATTTTAGGTGGTTGCCCAAGAAACAACATTTTTTTTTGGTCCAGTGAATTTAAATAACCAAATTTTGGTCTATATCCATAGCCTTGACTAAAAATAATTATGTTGTTTCACATCAAAATCGACTTTATAAGTTTAGCGTTAAACGCCTCATATTTTCTAATGCAATTCAACATAATTTATATACAATCATATTCTCTTGGTATTTACAACTATGACTTTATATTATATACAACTAATTACAATTAACGCAAATCGATCGTTAACAATCATAAAATATAATTACACTTAAAACTCCCCTTTGTTAACAATGACCATCTCGTCTCAATGACTAAAACATTCAGGGGCCCTCCTTTCTGGTGTGCTTCTACATAATACTGACGTCTTGCTTGTTTTTTCTCCAGGCAGCACAACGTATAACTCATCTTCTGAATCCTCACTTAAATCATTATAACCTCTTCCTTGTCCAAGACCTTCATTCGAATTGTTGTCGACTTTAACTTGTCTTAGGTCTCTTACTTGTCGACACATTTTGTCCACTTCTACCGTTTGCTCCGAGAATATCCCTGTAATTATTCCAATCTTATATTGAGAGTCGCATCGGCTGTCCGGGGGTTTAACCCATACTTTATCGAGAAGTTTAAATTTATTGGTTATCTTCTTACGAGAATCATATGCATTCTTTTTGTTATCAATTTCTCTTACTCTAATTTCGTATTGATATAACTTATTTGTAGGTGCAGTAGAAGACTTACAACTATTTTTTGGACTAACGTTATACCAATAAACTGCCTCCAGTATGCTGCACGGAACTCTCTTCCCCGTTCTTTTGACAGTTCGGTGACATCGTTCTGCAATTCTATTTCCCGAAGGTACATAAGCGCACCTGAATCGAAGTTTAACGTTCCATTTATTTACAAACTGAGAAAACAATGTGCTTCGAAATGCAGTATCATTGTCCGTCAGTATTTCATCCGGACCTCCTCGTTCGAGAAATATTGCGTTTAGTTCTTGAATAACACATGAATAGTATTAAGATATAGCCATATTGCATACCGTGTAGGTCCACAGTCAATTAAAGTAAGATAGTGCTGCCCCTCATAATGAGTTATGTCCATGCCAAGTCGTTGCCACGTTTTCTTTACTTCTATTTCCTCTTTCGGCCATTTCATTGGACTTGGATCGATTGATTGACAGGCTATGCATTAGGGTACATCATACTTTTTAAATTTTTGATTTTGAATTCGGCGGATGATTATAATGGTGCCACTATATGTAAAAATGAACTTCCTAAAAAAATAATTAAAAAATAATAATTTTTACCTGGATTGCAGTTTTCGAAAAGGTAAAATTGTTCATTTATGCATAAATGCAAGGGGGGTCAAAATTTTAAAATTATTGAAATATGAAACTATTTAGATTTTTTTTTTATATATTACCATATGCTGTGAAACGTTAATAATTTTTTTTCGCAAGGAAAAAGCCCTTATAAGATTGAAAAAAAATGTGAAAATTGAAATTTTTTTCATAATAAATTTTCAGACTTTTTTTTGTGTTGGAAAGACGTTTTTATAGTTCTACTTAACAACATCGTTTAGTTTAACAACATTTAATACAAAACAAATTTAAGTTATAATATTGTCATAAAAATGTTTTTGTTTACAATTTTGTTATAAAAAGGTTATTAAAATTTTTATTTGATTTAAGCTCGGGCAAAGTTTTTTTCTGTTATTTATTCGTGCTCTCACAAAACCGTCTCTTTTTTCAAAACACAAACGGAAAGTGCTGCTTCTGTAACTTCTTTTACTGCCCTTTCACAAGATTGCGTGTAAAGAGGAAAGTATGGAGCTTCAAAGCGAGTGACCAGATATTTGTCAAGATTGTATGTAGAGATTTGGCACGTAAACACTGGTTCTGATATTTTTTCTTTCTCCCAATCTATTAGCTCTTTGATAGACAAAGCTTCTGTATTGAGAAAAACCTTTTTTCTTAACCTTACAGCTGTGTCTCCGAACTGCAAGGTTTTCCTTATAACTTTAATTGTTTTAGTGGCAAATTTCCTCGATTCTTCATCTAAGCTTGACAAAAGAATTAATATAAGGGATTCTGAGTGGGTGAAATAGCCTCCATCTTGTTTTTTCAGCAGTCGCAACAGTGTTACTAAGTGTCCTGGGCCATCTACAATACTGTGTTTTACTTTGATTTCATACCACATGTGGAAATATAATTGAGCTACACATTTAACGATTAAATTAAATTTTTGAAGTACGTCACCAGTAAAAGTTTACTCACTCATATAGAGGAAAATGATAGCTTCTGCTGTGGTAAGTCATCTGCTGTGGCAAAAATTTCCACACTTTGCTTTAGATTGATGTCCATCTTGCCAGTGGACAAACATTGTACCAACTTATAACAGAGAGCTGCATCTGACGACATTGTTTTGAGAACTTTTTGGGAATTTCAATTAAAGGTTTCAGCTGTTCTATAGGTTCAAATGTTTTAAGTCTTTTTGACTTTAGTCTATTGTCTATTATCTAAATTAGTCTATTGTCTATTATCTAAAGTCTATTGACTTTAGATAAAGTTTTTTCAATAGGGCCAGTAAAACCATCCTTTGAATTAGTGGGGCCATCCAGTTCAACAATTATGTGCCTCAATGGTAATTCATTACAATGGAGCATACAAATAGACCAGAATAATTTTCTCCCTACCAATTGCTCCAGATTTGACAGTAAATCTCCATCTTTTCCTGAACCTGTCGTGGAGTTTGTAGAATTTCACCTACGACCTCTAAGGACTCATGGATTGCCCTTGAAATCATCTAATTGTAAAGAGCACATGCGGCTTCTTTGGCTGGTTTGCTTGGTGGTATAGCTTTAGGTGGTGTGTAATGAGTGAGGTATCTTCCATCAGGCTCACAAGTCACAGTTATATGTTCTTCTTTTATAGTCCTCATGTGAAATTTATTTGTTAGAGGATTCTGTTCCAACACTAAAGTTGAGTCCTTCCTGCCATCAATAAACAAATCTCTAATAGGTTCTTCGTCGATTAACTTTTCTTCACACATTATTACTTTCTCCATTATTTCTTCCTTTGCTCTTCTTATTTTCATAGGATCAACAGCTAAATAAGACATATCAGGCGTCAAATACTTCGCTTCAATAAGGTCTATGTAACAATAGCTGATGTTGCTGCTGGTGAAATATCATATCTTATTGAAACTTCTGCAGTATGAATTATTGACATATAGTTTTTTTCCAAATCTTGTTTTGAAGCGGATCTTTTGAAATCTTTTTCTTTTTTAAATCTGAATAATCCTCAATTAAAGATTCAACAACGTCGTCATTTTCTACCTTATATTTTTTTTTTCCCATTTCTAATTTTTTCTCTACTCCAGACTTCCTCTTCATTTTTTTTCTTCTCTCGCGAAAACTGTCTCGCGGTCTCTTTAATATCATTGAAACCCATCTGGTATTTTGAAATATATCCCTTTTTTTTCCTTTGGGCATTAAGCCATGGAAGTTCAACCTTAAGAATTTTTTTCTTTTTCACACAAGTACATTTAATATGTACTTGATCAACGCAAGAATAAGTTTCAAACCCAATTCGTTACATAACATAATTTCACACTTGCAACATGTTATATCTAGCAATTGATTCAGTTTTGATTCCCAAAAAGACACGTGTGTCTGAGAAGCTTTCCCATGAGCTATATCTTTGATCTTGTTCCAGGAAAATTCAATTTCTCCATCAAAGTTTTCTTTCCAATAACCACTGGAGGTTTAAAAAGAGCATTTGCTTACATCCACTGCTGTAAAACAATATCAGCTAGTAGACGAAAAAGGTCTCTCACTAAAATATTCCTTCTAAAAACAAAAATATATAATGCAAAATGTATAATTTGTTTTATAAATTTTGAGTTTCTTGATTATTACCTGTTAACATCTGCTTCTCGAAGTAGAGCTTCTTGGATAATCAGACCTTTTCTCAAAATATCTCTTAAAGTTGGCACTTCTAACGGAATAAGATCCTTACTTCTGCC